CCCTTCCCTCCCACCCTGGTAACCAACAAAGAAAGTTTTCCTCCATATCTAAACCTTTCCTTGACCCTCCACAACAATGAACCAGTACTGTATCTGTCCTTCTGTGATTGACTCATTTTACTCAGCATAATGTCCTCCAAGTTCATCCATATTATGCGGTGTTTTGCAGACTCTCCATTATTCTTTAGTGCTGCATAGCATTCCATTATGTGTATGTACCATGGTTTGGTCTTCCATTCTTCTGCTGATGGGCACGTCGGTTGTTTCCATCTTTTTGCTATTGTGAATAGTACTGCGATGAACATGACTGTGCATATATCTGTTCCTTTCCTGGCTCTCACCTCTCTAGAATATATACCTAGTAATGGGATTACTGGACCAAATGGTATCTCCAATTCCAGCTTTCTAAGGAATTGCCATATTGCTTTCCACAGTGGTTGTATCACTTCACAGTCCTACTAGTGGTGTATGAGAGTCCCAATCTCTTCACATCCCTGCCACATTTGTTGTTTTCTGTTTTGTTGAACCTTGCCATCAGTGCTGGGGTGAGACATTATCTCATTCTTGATTTGATTTGCATCTCTCTGATGGTCAGTGATTGTGAGCATCTCTTCATGTATTAGCTGACCACCTGAATATCCTCCTTTGTGAAGTGTCTGTTCATGTCTTCTGCCCATTTTTCAATTGGATTGTTAATTCCTTTGGTGTTAAGGTGTTGGAGTTTTCCATCAATCTTAGAGATAAGTCCCTTGTCATATATGTAATTATCAACAAATATGAATTTGTTGCTATCATTTTTGTTATGTGCTTTTTCATGGTGTCGATTTCTTTGTTCCATATAATATTCTATGCTGAGCTCATTTTGTTTATGAATTGTGTTATCACTTCCTTCATTGCTATTTTTTAGTACTTGCTAAATATTTGTGCTGGTCCTCTTTTTTATTTTGATGCAAAGGTTTATCATTTTTCTTTGAGGTTACCCTGTGATTTATAGTTTTCTTCCTAAGTTTAGAACAGTCCATTCTATCTTGTAGTTGTCTTGACATCCCTACCATCTGGAAGTTCTGTAACGACACAGTTTATTTCCTTTTTTTGGTTTGTAGTTGTCCTCATTTTTCAATTGATGTCTCTGGTTCCCTGTTTACAATCATGTAGGCTTATATACTTTGGATACTTCCATAGCTGGGTTGGTTTCTGGGTTATATCATCCTGTGTGTTAATGGCCAGTTGTTGTTGGCTATTGTTGCTCCTCTGTTCAAAGGAGTCCTTTGAACATCTCTTGTAAGAGTGGTCTGGTTTTAACAAATTCCCTTAATTTCTGCTTATCTGGAAATGTCCTAATTTCACCATCATATTTGAGGGACAATTTTGCTGGGTATATAATTCTTGGTTGAAAATTTTTCTCTTTCAGGGTTTTATATGTACCATCCCATTGTCCTCTTGCCTGCATGGTTTCTGCTGAGAAATCCAAGCTTGGTCATTTTTTTAATTGTGATTTGGGTTAAAATTTACAGAGCAAATATACTTTCCATACAGCAGTTCATGTACACTTTGTCTTATGATATTTACTACTGTTTACCACAATGCAACAGCTCTCCTCCTACTTCCTCCAGATAGTTACCTCTTCCCTGTGTCCATCCCTCCATGTACTCCTGCCCCCTGAGCTGTCTCCCTGTGCATAAACAACCCTTCTTTCTCCCATGATTGTTCTCTCCAAGGAGTGTATCTACCTCAGGTAAATGTTCAACTCATATGCCTGTCTTTTGTTTGGCTGGAAGCCACAGGTGTTCAATTCCAGACCTGAAGGGCAGCTAGGGGCCATAGTCTCAGTGGTTGCACCAGGCTCTATTAGACCAGCAAATCTGGCCCCTTCTTTTTAAAATGATTTTGAGTTTTGTTCCACATTGTTCTCCCTCTCTATCCAGGATCTACTACATAGATCCCCCTCCAAGAGGTTGACAGTGGTAGCCGGGCACCGTCTAGTACTTCTGGTCTCATAGTCATATAGGCTGCAGATCTCATGGTGTACCAGTTGCTAGGAGTAATTCTTTCCATGAATCTTTGGTTTTCTTCATTCTTCTTTGCTCTAGATGAGGAGAGACCCATTGTTGCATCTAGATGGCTGCTTGCAGGCTTTTAAGATCCCAGTCGCTACTCGCCAAAGTAGGAGGGAGAACAATGTTTTGTATAGTGTGTTATGCCAATTGAGCTTGATGTCCCCTGCGACTATAGTTCTGAGCCCAGAGGCTTAACTACTCGGTCCCTCTGGGTAGCTGGCTGTGACCAAGAAGTGACTACAACCTTGTCCCTTGTCAGCTCTACTATACATCTGGGAATTCAGATCATACAAATACACTGATAGGACCATTGTCTGCTAACCCTTTACATGGTCTTGGGTACACTCCCCGTTCATAGACATACCTAATAGTTCAGCCTGTCCACCCATCTATCAACCCATATACCCATGTTTGCCTTCACTGACAATGCAGTACTGTATGTGCAAAAGGGTTCATCTATGTTGTCTGTACCTCCCATGTACCTCTCTATGTCTTCCTCTTCCTCAATGCCACCATGTTGATCACTCACATTTGGTACGTTGCTCTTTTCTTCACCCAAGTCAATATTTATCTCTACCTATCCAACAGTGTTTTCTACCCTCACCTCCCACCCCTGGTAACCAACAAAGAAAATTTCCTTCCATTTCCTTGACTTTTAACAATAATGGAGTAATACAATAGTTGTCCTTCTGTGACTGACTTATTTCAATCAGCATAATGTCCTCCAAGTTCATCCATGTTATGTGGTGTTTTTCAGATTCTAGGTTACTCTTTAGGGTTGCATAGTATTCCATTGTGTGTATGTACCATAGCTTGGTTATCCATTCCTCAGTTGATGGACACTTAGGTTGTTTCCATCTTTTGGCTATTGTAAATAGTGCTGCGATGAACATGGGTGTGCGTATGTCTGTTCTTGTCATGGCTGTCACTTCTTTAGGATATATACCTAGTAATTTAATGTCTGGGTCATAGGGTATTTCTAATTCTAACTTTTTAAGAAATTGCCATACTGCTTTCCACAATGGTTGTACCATTTTATAGTCCCACCAACAGTGTATGAGAGTCCCAATCTCTCCACATCCTCACCAGCATTTGTTATGTTCTTTCTTATTGAACTTTGGTACTAGTGCTGGAGCAAGATGGTATCTCATTGTTGTTTTGATTTGCATCTCTCTAATAGCTAATGATTATGAGCATTTCTTCATGTGTTTGTTGCCACCTGAATATCCTCCTTGGTGAAATGTCTATTCATGTCTTCTACCCATTTTTTAATTGGATTATTTATCTTTTTGTTGTTGAGATGTTGGAGTTTTCTACAAATTCTAGAGATAAGTCCCTTGTCACATATGTCATTGCCAAATATTTTTTCCCAATCTGTAGGTTCTCTTTTGACTCTTTTGGAGAAGTCTTTGGAAACACATAAAAATTTAATTCTGAGAAGGTCCCATTCATCTAGTTTCTCATCTGCTGTTTGTGCATTTTGGGTTATACTTGATAGTCTATTTATGCCATATATCAGGGCCCCTAAATTTGACCCTAGGTTTTCCTTGAGGAACTCTCTATATAGTTTTAGGTTTCACATTTAAGTTTTTGATCCATCTAGAGTTCGTTTTTGTTATGGTGTGAGGTACAGATCCTGTTTCATTTTTCTGCAAATGGATCTCCAGTTTTGACAGCGCCATTTATTAAACAAACATTCTCTTCCCCATTTAATGGATTTCGGTCATTTGTCAAAGATCAGGTGACCATAGGTCGATGGATCTCTTTCTGGGTTCTCACTTCTGTTCCATTGGTCTGTGTGTCTGTCATTGTACCAATACCAGGCAGTGTCGATGGCACATTACAACAACAACAATGAATGACCTGATGACCTGCTCAGACAAGGATTTTGGCATGTTTTTATAGTGAAGTTGATGTTCAGTGTAGCACTGGCTCTCAAAGTATAGTCACTAGAACAGCAGCCCCACCTGGGAGTTGGTAGGAACACACATTCTTGGGGCCCATCCAATTATCTACTGAAAAGATATTTTGGAGGCAGGACTCAGGCAATTTGTGTTTTAAGAAACCGTCCAGGTGTTTCTGATGTTTGCTAGAGTAGAGTTTTTATGCAGCAGAGGATTATATAAAACATCATGTTGTGAATTTACTACACGTACATGTTTTCCCAAATATCCAATTTAAATATTTTTCTTTGCTTAGGTCTGATGCTGAAACAAAAAGAGCTTTGGAAGACTTGACTGAAAAACTTAATGTCCACAGACAAGAAGTGGTAAGAACTCTGTGTTTATAAAAAGTTTTATTTGATTATAGATATTAGAGAGGGTAGTGGGCTGGTCATAATCACAGTGAAGTTTGGCAAATTTTAATTTTTTGAGTGGTGTATACCACTTTGTCTAAAAATGTATTCTTCTATCTCCTGTCAAATATTTATGAAATAATTTCAGATATTTAAGTTTTAATAATCATACTGATATATATTAGAGATAGAGGTATCATTTGTTTTAATTTTTAGCGTTTTATTTTGACTGAAAGATATTTTAAATGTTATATAGCTTCAGTGATTCTTCTGGTATAGTTTTGTTGAATGATATTTGAAAACAAGGTATTTTTTTGTAGTGGCTCTGTTTCATTTCCCATATTGAGTATTTTCAGGTCTTTATCTGGTATGGTACCAGGCAAAAATACACCTAGTTTTCATGTTTTTTTTTCTTAAACTCAGGTCTTTGCTTATTATTCAATGATCTGTTTTTATCTTATCACATTATCCTTGATGGAATTGAGGTAAAAATGTGAATATAGTGTCCCTTTCTTTGCATCATCAGGTTTTTTTAAAGGAAAAAATTATCAATAGAAATTGTCATTTTCAGGAGCAATGTTGTAGTATCATTTTTATAATATCTTTTGTTTTTGCAAAGAAAAGAAAGCAGATTTTTTTTTTCTTAACGTATTTTATTCAAATTGAAAATTTCCTGGTGAAAGCAGATAATTTTTTTCCAGTTATTGTGTTTGCATTTACTTACTTAGCTATACTGAGATAATTATGAAGTTTGTATTTAATGACCACACATGCTAATAGAGGGACATATCATGTATTTCACATACAATGTGCCCACACATACAATGCACATAGCTCACATAGGAAACTAATGCGTAAGGAGGTCGCACAGTTTGTAAAAGATGTTTGACAAAAATCTGATACTCTGTTTTCAAAGCTGTCAACCTTTTGTGGTAAAACTTACCCATTTCAAAAATATAATCAGTACCTGATCACATTAAAGCACCTCTCTCCTGTGTTTTGGTACTAATTTCTATGTGAAGAATCCAGAGAAGTGAAGGTAGTATAATGCCTGTCTTCTGATGAAATAGATATCTTTGCAGGTAGTGCCTGATGGTGTGATGTTTAATGTGTGGTCAGGATATGGAAGATATGTATCTCTATCTCTGTCTCTGTCTCTATGTGTATATCTATCTATATCTATATCTATATCTATATCTATATCT